TGAATAATATTCTATTAAAAACATTATAAATATATTTTCTAAATCTACATTCTACTAATTAATTTTCAATGTATTATACATTGTTTTATACATTAAAATTATCTACATATCATGCGGTACCATCTGATACAATAGTTCTTAACTTTATGAAAATTCCATACATTTCAAACTTCCAACTATTGTTTCCATTTTCAATTTATTAGAGAATAATTAATATTATTATTCCAAAAATTAGCTGAAAGAATAATTTAGGATTAAAAACCTTAATCTTTTTAAACTTTTTAGAATCCATAGTTTAAAAATCATTAAACTAACATATTTAATAGTTCTATAATCAAATATATTACGTAAAAAATATTAATTAAAAAATTTTAGACATTTTATTATATTTTTAGTATAGAAGAGTATAATCTAACATTTCAGAAAAAGTTTGATAGTTGCCCTCAATCCTCGTTGTTTCGATCTTCAAACCTCATCCCAGAATTCCCAGACTGCCTTCCCAGAGCGCAATGGATCGATGATAGAGAACCTCCGAGAACTGTTTGGAATTTCGTCAACGCTGATCTCTGGCATTGGAAACCTTCGATTTTCTACCAATAGGAGAATAGGAATATCGAGAATAACTATTTTGTACGTAAATGTACCAATGTAAAGATTAATTGTAATTATTTTATTGTAATTATAATTATTTTAACAGTAATTGCGTTACAAATTTATAAATAAATTAATATATTTCTTTTCACTTTTGTAATTTTTAACAGAATTAATTATGAATATACATATTAAATTCACATTGGTCTTTATATATCCAATTAAATTTATTACCATATTAAAAATAAAATTTTGAAAAAAAAACACAAAGCAAATTAATAAATATGACTTTTTTAAAATTTTCAATTTTTATCATTGTTTAGTATAATAATTACCCAGTTTGCTTGCTATTTATTACATATAAAATTTAATGTATCTACAATACAATAAATTAATAGTACACATTGATTTTCATATACTCATACTATTACAAACTTTGAGAAAAATACAATGTCAAACGAGGATAAGTTCATAGATGTTAAAAATGAACTAGCATTATAACATTAAAAGATGGATAAATCGATGAGATTCATATATTTCAAAATTAAGAAGAGAATTAAAAAATCAAAATGATTCTCATAACACTTACTCTAAAAGCCACTTTCTTCACGTTCACATTTGCCAAATACATAGTTGATCGTCCTCGAAGAGTTAAGAGAGGATAATGCCACATGATTCGAGCCAATTGGAGAAAATTTTCGTAGGGACACAAGGAAAACGTATTGCTACGCATTAAAGGAGGGTCGATGAAATTGAAGGTATTGTGCACGTGATCTGCCGTAATGTCTCGTGGAGAACCGAGAAATCTGTCGAGAGAGTGGGAAATGACGCGGAAGGAAAGTTGATGGAAATTTGGAGAATGTCAGATGATTCGGTCAATGGCCACTTTTCATAGAGCAACACAGAAAATTGCCAATTGATATGTACGTAATTGAATGCATGAATAAATCACGGAAATTGAAGGAAAATATATAATTTTTATTTTTCGAATGGGATTTCGAGATTGGCATTCGAAATCTCTGGAAAATTTTTCGATTTAAGGATAGATATTTAAAGAAAGATAATTTTATTATTATTATCTTGAATACGGGATTATGATGATTTAGTAATCGTTGTTTATTGAAAAAGTTATTAAAGTTATTATCGACTAGTTTTTAGTAATTATTATGTAAAAATGTATTACGTATTATTAAAAAAAAAATCTGATATTTAAACATCAATGCAACAATTCAAACTCAACACGTGTCGACAGTATTTCATACTACAAGTTCCATCATCATCCGCTATCACACACAACTTCCGGCGCATCGACTCGGCAAAACCGGAACAACATCGATATCACTTTCCTAAACACATCTTCTACATCTCCTCTTTCACGCTACACTAATCACTATAACTAAAATTTCAGAAACAAATTAATAAATAAATAAAGATAAGTAAAAAGATAAATTCAGTATTATTTTATTTTCTACCAAAAATCTAATTATTTTTAAAAATAAAATGGAATAAAAAATAAATTTATATTATTTTCAGTTTTATAGCAATAACCTAATTGTTTTATCCTAAACGACTTCTACATCCCTTTTTTCACTATAATCAAAAATTCAAAACTAAATCAAAAAATAAATAAAGATATACTAAAAGATAAATTCAGTTATTATTTTGTTTCATAGCAATAATCTAATTGTTTTATTCTAAACATCTTTTACATCCATTACATTCTACATTTTTTCACTATAATCAAAAATTCAAAAATAAATAAATAAAAATATACAAAAAGATAAATTCAGTATTATTTTGTTTCATAGAAATAATTGTTTTTAAAAAGAAAATGGAATAAAAGATAAATTTATATTATTTTCAATTTTATGACAATAATTGTTTTGTCCTAAACATATCTTCTATATTCCTTTTTCATTATAACCAAAATTTCAAAAACAAATCAATAAATAAATAGAGATAAGCAAAAAAATAAATTCAATATTATTTTGTTTCATAAAAATAATCTAATTGTTTTTAAAAACAAAATGGAATAAAAGATAAATTCAGTATTATTTTGTTTCTTAGCAATAATCTAATTGTTTTTAAGAAGAATAAAAGATGGAATAAAAAATATTTCAAAATTAAGAAGAGAATTAAAAAATCGAAATGATTCTCATAGATCACTTGCTCTAAAAGCCACTTTCTTTACGTTCACATTTGCCAAATACATAGTTGATCGTCCTCGAAGGATTAAGAGAAGATAATGCTACATGATTCGAGTATTATTTTATTTCATAGTAATAATCTAATTGTTTTAAATACATCTTCTATATTCCTCTTTCACTAACTACTTTCACTAACCATTATAACTTAAAATTTTAAAAATATATTAATAAATAAATAGAGGTAAACAAAAAGATAAATTTAATATCTAACTGTTTTTAAAAAAGAAATTCGAATACAATCAAGTATTTCATTATATAAATTCATAGGAAAGAATGAAATTTCTTGTTACGATTTACGAAAATTAATAATCGATTAATTCAATTAAGCAAATAATAATATATCGTTGTATTATCAATTATTTCAATTTTGAATTATTCCAAGTTTGATTATTCGAATAATTGACATTTAGATTAATCAAAACTTCGAATAATCAATCATTACAGAATTTTATTTTTATTAAAACTATAAATATCAATAATCTTATTAAAAATCAAATCATTTCGCTCTCTACAAAATTTCTTCTCCTTTTCATATGAAACAAAATCAATACTATAACTATATCCACAATTTTTCATCCATCTATCCATCGTTGCCCCATGATTCAAGAGAGCGCGTATATATGCAATTGCAAGAATTCGCAGTTTATCAACGGATTCAAATCGTATTATTTGCGAAAGGGAAGGAAACCGCATTCCGTCGCGTTTTTCACTCGGTTTCAAGCAACCAGACACGAGATATTTCGTCGCTCAAACGTGACAACGTTACTGTTTCAACCGTGTTTTACTTCTCCTCTTCTCACCATCTCTTTTTTCTTCTTCCTCCTTTTTTCTTTCTTTCTTTCTTTTTTTTTTTTTCCCCCTTCTATCGATTATCGTTACCCCATAGAGGATTCCACGAAGCTTAGCGGCGGGGTGAGAGCATCCGCTTGTAGCTTCGCTCTTGCACAGTGTCCCGGGGATTAGTTCTGGCTTTAATGTCCGACGACAAGGGATTTCAAAGGTAATTGAATCGGGTACAACGATTCGCCCGAGTCTTTAAAGCCGCGGGACAGATCGTAGACTAAGGTCGGCGGGCGATTATGTGTCGGGTTGACTGATGAAATTGCGAGTTTTGATTTTGTGGATGTGATTGAGGGGATTTCTTCGCGATAGAATATTTTTTTCTTTTTTTTTTTCCTTTTCTATTCTTCGTTTCTGCGATTGGCAGGGATGGATGAAATTGAAGGGTTTATGGCAAAAATATTTTTTTGGAATTTATAATTCTTATTTTAAAAAATTTTTTAATCTCTTTTTATGTATTCAGATTTAATAATGAAATTTTTGTATATTGTTTATACGATTAGGAATTTCTAATTGTATTATGAGATTATAAGCAATAAGTTGGATTGTTTTTTTTTAATAAAAGAATTAAAATGATATTAAAATTTGGAATTTGGAAGTATTACTCGTGAAAAGAAATGAAATTTTTCATTTGATGGATGACTTATCTCAGGTTTGATTAATTTCTTTATTCTTACTGAAAGAAAAAATGAAAATTATATGATGGATTATATAATATTTTTATAATTATTATTCTATAATATTACTTTCTTTTTATCATATTAATAATGTATGATGTTAAAACAAGAGTTTGATTGTATAAATCACAAAGTTTTCAATTTTTCAATACAATGTAAAGAAAGTAAATTCCACCTACTTGTTATGATGTGCATCTTGAATTTCGCTTTTTTACAATTTTCTATATTTTAAAACAATATTACAAGTAATATTTTTATTATCACAAAAAGTTTAGGATCAATCAATTGATAGAAAAAGGATTTAGATTTTTTTAATAGGATAAAGTAAAAACACGTTTTAATAAAATTTAAGTTGGAAATTATGTTCGAAAAGAGTAAAGAAGCAGCAGAAGAATGCGAAAAGATTGAAACTCTTTAAGTAATCTTTAAGTATCTTATTTTATTATCCTATAAATATATTATCCAACATCCAATGAAATTTTCTAAATCCCTTTTGCACGACGAAACAAAAAAATTATACCTATCTTATTAAAATGCCAATCTCTGAATATTTCAATTCTAAAAATTGAATATCATGGTAAATAAAAATAAAAATAAGCTTTGAGATTTGCCATCCATTCTAAAATAATAAGCTAGAAGACCAGCTATCTCGAATTTGCAACAAAGTTTAATGTACCAAACTCACCAGCATACTGCAGCTTCTTTGGACAACTCAAATACGCAAATACGGAGTTGTATTTGAGAGACCATCAGATTCAGGAAGGTAATTAATCCGGTCAATCAAATTTTAGCACCGTCAGGGTTATCTTCTTCAATCTGAAAAATTAAAATATATCGGTCAATGCTAAATTTAAAAATTCTAATTATGAAATAAATTTTATGATTAATTAATATCATTTCATTGATCAATGATTCTTCGAATACTTTAAATACATATTGAAATAATTAAAATCAACGCCTAAAATTTTCCAGCATTTATATTTTTCCAAATATATAACTTTATACAAACATTATATATTATATTACATTATATTACATTATATTACATTATATTACATTATATTATATTATACAAAGAGATAGAGCAAAAAAAGATGCTGAAATTCTTTCATCTCAAAGAAATTTTCTGTCGACATTTATAATTTTTTTAATAAAATTTATAAAAATATAATATAATATAATATAATAATATTAAAAATTTATAATTTTTTTATCAGATTAGATGAATAATCCGTTTTATTCATCTCTGCATCAATTTATCTTTACAACGATATTACAATAACAATTACATTACTTCGAAACACACAACTTCCTTCGAGAATCTCTTCGAAATTATCAAAAAATCGTTCATCCACGAATCCCAAATGGAACTAAGACGAAGGACAAAGAACGAAAAGAAGAAGATCTCGCGTACAGGAGCAAGAGGAGGGCGACGAGGGAACGGGTTTGAATTTGAGTGCACAGGCTGGTACACGCGTTATCCGGTTAATTCTTTCTGACTGGCTCTCGGCGAACAGAACCGGAAGTGGTGCCTCTCTCTTTTTCTCTTTCTCTCTCTCCCTCTCTCTTTTCGTGTCAGATGGCCCGTGCTCGTTGGGCACGTCGTCGATTTCCCCAGTTTTGATCTGCCATGTGGAAGGATCTGATCGCTATGAAACGAGCATCGGCCTACGAACGAACCGAATCTGTAATCGGATGACTGAAGATCGGGGAGGCCCACCCCGTGTGACGGTGGCAAAGGTAACCAAAGCTTGTGAACATAATGAACGATATTTCGGACCTGCTTCTAACCCTTTTTTCTTTTTGTTGTAAGAGGAGGAAAGAGGAAAAGAATTAGTCGCGGTGCAAATGAAGCGTTGACTTGTGAACGAAGAACCGGAAGAAGATTTATCGATCAGGAATTCGAGTGGAATAAACTCGATCGCGAAACGGAGAGAGTTTAAGAATCGTGTTTCAAGTTTTTTGTTTTGATTTCAAACGATATTGAAATGTACGGTAATAATATATTGTGTGATATATTGTGTAATTGTGTAATATATTATATACAATTATATAATATTATGTATTATATATATATATGTATTATATATTGTGTAATATATTAATATTTGTTCTTTTGGAATGATTTGTAATAAAATTTAAATATTTAATTAGAAAAATATGTAATTGAAACATACAGTAATAATATATTGTGTAATATATTATATTAACATTCTTTTTTGGAATTGTTTGTAATAAAATTTGGGAAATATTTAATTATAAAAATGTGTAATTGAAATATACGGCAATAATATATTATATAATTGTAACATACTAACATTTGTTCTTTTGGAATGATTTGTAATAAAATTTGGAAAATGTTTAATTATAAAAATATGTAATTAAAACATACAGTAATAATATATTGTGTAATTGTAATATATTATATTAACATTTTTTTTTAGAATGGTTTGTAATAAAATTTGGAAAATATTTAATTTATAAATAAAAACGTGTAATTTAAATATACGTTAATAATATATTGTGTAATTGTAATATATTAATATTTTTTTTTTGAATGGTTTGTAATAAAATTTGGGAAATGTTTAATTATAAAAATATTAAAATTGAAACAGACGGTAATATTATATTGTGTAATATATTATATAATAAATTGTAATATATTAACATTCAATCAATTTTTATTATTTCAATTTTTTTAAGAAAATAATAAAAATATGTATATACAATAATAATATATGTATAAAATATGTATATATATAACAAAATATGTATGTGTACATGTTTTTTGAAATTATTTTGAAAAACAAGCGATACGTTTATCCAAGGATGAATAGTCGAAATCGTAGAATTGTAATAGATTAAATAAATGTTATAGCAATAATAGTGAAAGAAAGGAGAATAGATCCGAGAAGAATGAAACAAACACAGTGGGAAATGGTCGAGCGGCTTTTGTTTCCTCAGGATTATCAACTGTAAATTTGATTTTGATTTTAATTCTCTCTCGGCCGGGTTCGCGAGTCTATTGGGTTGATTTTGATTTAAACCCTCTTGAGCGGCGAGATAATACGTACACGTGGATGGAACTCGGCGGCCGGAATTTTATTAATTAATTTCATCGCATCATCACGCGTAATGAAGCATTATACGCTTGCCGAGCTTCGTTATGCGTCATTTCGAATATTATTCAAATTTAAACGGATAATCGATATCGCGTTTTTTGACGATGTTCGAAAATATCGAACGTCAATTTCGCAAAATTATATGGGAATAATTCGCGATTTTTCGATTAAATATTTGGATTAAAAACGAAATTACGAATATCTGATCGTATTTCTAATTGTTAATAAGATTCATTTGGTTGAAGAATGCTTCAATATTTTAACTCGATCAATTATATAATTTGTATATTAATTCTATGAGATAATTTTCAAAATAAGAATGTGGATATCGGAATATTGGATGCTGGCAGTTAATGGCCATATGGCGCTAGTTATCATAGCGTTAAAGGGAACCAAATTAATCGAAAGTAATTTTGCGTCCATTTTATTTTCAAAATTATTATTTTTTTAAATAAATGTATCTCTAGTGAAAGCTGTTGGAAAAATAAAGAAAATAAAATACTTGTGGACATGTTATATCATTACCGGTAATACTACTAAATTTCCAACGATTTATCCTTATTACTATTTATTGCACACTATTCTACCGCAAACTATGGCAATTAATATAAATTTTCTCCCTATCATAAATTTTCTTGTAAAGAATTGCATACACAAAGATTATTTTCTTTCGAAAAAACGCACAGTGGTTCGAATAATAGGAATTAACTGGACAAAATTATATTTCTTCGGTTTTGAGTTTATATTTAAGGAGATTTAAGTTTTAGAAAATAATACTGCTTTATATAATTATAATTTATTATTATTTCATTAAAAATGTATATGATATAAAAGTATGATGATATAAAAAAAATTAATATTGCATTTAATTAGTATAAAATAAAAAAGAAAATATATAATAATTAATATAAAAAGATAAAAAACATTTATATAAATATATAAATGTTTGTGATTTGAATCCTTAAGTAGCCGCAGATATAGCAAAAAATTGTAACAGATAATTAACTTAGAAAGCGCTTCGAATTTGACAAACATACAATAAACTGAATCTTAATAATTGAACATAATATTCTAAAAAAACAGATATTAAGAAAAAAATGCTATGGCTATATCCTCGACAATCCTATCCTATAAATTCCGATAGATATGAACCAGAAATGAGACTAAATCATGATAATTTAACAAAATAATAATAAAAACGATAAAACGGAAAATTATAAAATGAAAAAAGTACTATAAGAAAATATTCTGCATATCGACCGCTCAAAGATTGAAAAAAATAAAAAAAATTGCCAATTAAAGTTAGGAAATTATTATTGTTTATTTCTCTAAAATATAATAAATAAACAATGATAGAAATGCATATATTATAATATGGTATAGCTTAAAATTAATCCATAAATATCAATGGCTAAATCCGATTGTGTCTGTATATATCATGGACGGCTATATATTAAAATTAATTTTAATTTAGTTTTGCAAAGTTTTGCAAATCAAATATGGTGTGAAAAAGAGTTTCTATTTTTCATACATTTAATTGTTATTGCATAGAACGACGTGGAATATATAAAAAATCATTGACAAATCATTACACATTGTGTGAAATTCTAATATGAAAAAAAAAAACAAAAAATTTATTGATAATTTATAACAATTTAAATTAAAATAAATGTTTTGAGATGTTATATTCGTTATAAAATTGAAATTTAAACGTTTCTTAAAAAATTTACAGAATATTTCTCAACTATCGAAATGTGATCGATCAATTATCAATTCTCTGTCTATATACGCATATTTTGTTCAATCTGTAGACGTTTAAGAAAAAGGATTCAAAATTTTAATGTATAAGATTATTATTATACATTACATTGAAACAATTATTTTTTTATACATTTGAAAATGAATTTTTTTCCAATCAATATACATTATTCGAATTTCATTGTAAGCTAAATTCCTCGAAATAATTTAGACGATGTAACATATACCAAAATACAAAATATATGCTAAAATACAAAAATACGTATTACGGCGTGTTACTTAACCCAAATACGCTATTATAATCTCGATATGTCGAAACTTGAACACACACGAGCGAGAAAACACAAAAGAAGTGGCAATGTCGGATCGACAATCCATTGGAACCGGCTGCTTCGTGGTGAGCATCGGGCGGATGATACGAAAGGCCAAACGGGATGGTTTATAAAGCGGCCTCCTCATCCTCCCCGCTCACGTATCGTCCGCCGTCGACACATTTAACGATGCGAGTGACGTTTAGTCGTGGGTACAAACACGTGAAAATTTCTATAGGCCGGTACACACACGATGTGTAGCCTTCGCTTTATGGCATCGTTCGAGCGACAAATTGCACTAAAAATAAACGTTCGCGCTCGGTTGCCACTACTGGCTATTCGCGCGTGCGAAGGTGGCCTCGAACCAGTCGTGTCCCATGTTCACAAGCCAACCCAAGCCCTCTCTCCCTTTGAAGTGTAGACGATTGGAAGTCCCCAGGCTTGCGAATTATGTGGCCGTTACGTTTTTACACCATGACCTACCTGCACATCGTCCTTCCTCCTCACGATGGATTTATTTGGAACAACGTCGAGTCGATTCTTGCTTGGAGGACGTAAAAGACGAATTCACCATTTTTCTGGATTTCTATAACATTCATCCATAATGAATATGAAAAATTGAAGT